CTCTACATAAGAAACTAATGAATACGTGTTTCAGCTATTGGCTTACCGCTCGATCAGTTTCAAATTCATTTTTATATATACATATCTATAAGCCACGCTTCAACTGTATGGATTCTAAATTGTGATTGCAAATAGTTGATAGCTAGCTCAATACAGCATATTTGCAATTGTAAACTCCAACTTTGATTGTGCACTCTGTTTATGTTTGCCGATATTCGAATTAAGCCTGGATATACTTATGCGGGCACTTGGCTTAACATATCAGCGATTGCATTACTTTCAGCTCACATGGTGCATGCTACAAAATGGTTGCCACATTGGCATTGGCGATAAGCGGCCGCAACAACAACAACAACAACTGTTGTTGTTGCAGCCGCGTTTGCAATTTTGCATCCAATAAAATTTTCGGGGCTAATGCAAACATTCGGTTCGCAGAAAAACCCCACTCTATAATATTTGCATGCACTCGCGCAAAATGTGACCAAAAATGCTGAAATGAAATCGGAAACTGGCATTAACGACTGCAGTTGCTGTCTGTGTCCCTGTTCCCGCTTCCACACCCCAGCCCAACACATCCCGACCTCCTTTCAGTCCCCCTTTGATGGGTTAACAATTTTAAGCGCAAGTTATGTGCAAATTGTGTGCCATTGGCGGCCGTCGATTGTTGCCGACGACCGAAGCGGTTTTAAATTTCAATAAAAGTAAAATCCAAATATTGTCAATGGCCAGTGAGCCCCGAATGGGGCGGCACGCGCTGGCTATTGGGCGTGGCAAGCGAACGACACGTTCATGACGCTGCGTAATGCTTAATATGAAATGGCACAAAAACAGTTCCACACAAATCGCTGCGACACACAAAAGCAAAGAAATATACGACTGCGCCGATGCACACCAAGTGCCGAATCTTGAATACACTTATTTAGTAGAACAAATATCTTAAGCTAATATACTTTTAGTTTAAAATTTAACTTGATAACAAATTCATCTACTTTTGTTTTCTTATTTGAATTATTAGCTCTGTTTAAAAAATGGAAGTTCCATTGAATGTATTCAAGCAATATTTCAATTCATGAGAGCTTTATCAATTTTTGGCAAAATTTTTCAATTCCATCAAATTGGGAAAAACAACAAAAATTCAGGACTTTAAATTATGCCTCCTGACAGCAGGAACAGAAGATTGTCATAAATAGAAGAGAGAGTGTGGCTGCAAAGCGAAGATCAGCACAAATTTTGGAACATGGCTGAATAAATGCTGAACTTTTTTTGTAGTTGTCTATGAAAGTTTTAGGCAAAGCATTCAAATTTGCAACTAACTTCAAATAACGTGCTTCTAATATGCTTAAATCTCCTCTAAGCCAAAGACGCCCTGTTTGTATTAAGGAAAGCTTAGATTCCAATAGTTCAGATAAGAGAATTGCCTGCTTTAATGCTGGGCATATTTACTGACCAATTAGGAATACCTACGGCATACACTGGCCGTGGAAGAGAGTGAAAGCAATAAGAGCGTGAAAGACAAGCAGCAAGGTCGTCGAGGCGAGAAGCATAAGAAGAAGAAGTGGAAGAAGAGGGAGAAGGGGCCTCCGGGTCGGCGTCGTGGTTTCAACAGCCGCACAACGCATGACATTTATGCCCGACATAATCCGCTTACACAACAGGATAACAAGATGAGCACTCGTACATTTTTAATGCGCTCGAGATACAATAATTTATATGCGTGGCACGTAAACGACGAAGGTGGCCGTCCAAGGGGCGCCGCCAGCGGCAGCAGCAGCAGCAGCAGGAGAAGCGTTAAACGTAAACAAAAATTGCGCCTGAAGTGGGGTTTTGGGACTGAGGCTCAGCCAATGCGTGTGGCATATGCGAGGTGGGGTGGGCTACTTACTTAGGCAACGCTATAAAATGCATAAGATGGACATAAATACAAATTGTTGTCAGCGACATGGATATATGGCTGAGACACGCCCGCTTGGGGCGCCACGCCTACTGTGTGGCAAGATGAGCTGCCACCAAAGTTGATCAACAATTATGCCAAAACAATTTGTATTCGATATGAATAATTTCTAGTCAAAATTCAGCGCAGTCTGCGGCCACTTGTAACGCCCGAGGCGCTGGGCCAACAAGATTTTCCGCCCGAAAGTAGGCAACGGGGTCAACGAATCTATTGGCGACCAAACGGAATGCAAAAAGAGAAAAGCAAAAGGAAGCCCAACAAAAGTATGAAGTCCAACAACACGTCAAGAGCAATGCCAACAACTGCCAGCACAACCCAATCACACACACACTCACAGACACAGACCTACACACACACACTCACACTCAAAATAAGCACTTGAGCACCACAAAATTTATGCGATTTTGAACTGCTGCCGGGGCTTTTTGATGCCCAAGCAAGCGAGCATTATAATTTTGTCGTGCCCTTTGTAGCTTAATCTAATATAAAAGCATGTTTAAAACAATATTTCTCATTATTTATAAATAGGTGCTGGGGTTAGACTCTAAACATGGCTTAAAACTAGCTAGCTAAGGATCTATATTAGTTGTCTTTTCAAATAATCAACATCTAAATGGAACAAGACTCAAAAAATGTAATTCTAACATCAGCGTGCTTTGCCACAGCCTTGTCACCCGTTCCACGCATAAACTCGTTGTGAATTACAACGCTTTGAACGACGAAAACAAAATAAATATCAGACATAAACGCAGAGCCTATAACTTTAAAGTTCATAGGACATAGCTCATATAACTGTTGACTTTTCTGTCTTTGAGGTTCTTCAGAGTTGTAGAAAAGCAAATATATAAATTTATGGTAAAGAAAACTAAGTTTAAGACCAACTCAGGCCAGTTTAAAACAAGATTTGAACCTAACCCAAAACCACATTTTAAGCGGGACATACAGATTTTATTTAAGATTCACAAATGATATACTTAAATTTATTATAAGACTCGATTTAATCCTCTTCTGAATACATTTTAGACGACTTTCGAAGCTTTTTGCTTTAAGCAGCAAGCCTAACACAAAATGTATTTTATTGTTAATGTTTTTTAAGATTATAATCTGAAATTTGAAGTGACTTCGGAAATAATGCCGAGTCTCTTTATATACGAAATCTCACTGTGATTAAGCAAGATTAAGCAGAGCAGCTGCGCAAAGCTTGTTTCTATTGAAGGAACCAACTTGTTAATAGGCATTAGAGTATTTAAAAGTCGTTAAGCGTGCTACGTATTTATATGCTATTTGTAAGCGGTTGCCATTGGAGTTGTTTGCTTTTTGCCATTGCCATTGTCTTCTTGTCTATGGACGTGCGTACAGGGGCGTTAAATTTGGCACACCCACACGTGCTCGTGTCAATATGCGAGTGTGTGTGTGAGGATGTGTGTGTGCGACAGCACTTTATGGCTTAAATAAGTCAACAACACGGCAGCGGCAGCAGCCACAACAACAACAATAACAACAATATAAACAAGCTCCTGCCAATGCCAACGCATGTTGAGCCAAGTTGTGTTTACACTTTCGTGGCTTTTGTTTATGATGTCAAATAAAAGTGCACGACAATACCGAATAAATATTTTATTGCGCCAGCGGAAGCAGAAAGTAACTTAAAGTATGGCCACGCCCACGCCTTTTTACCAAGGAGCCATATTAAAGTCGGCCAAGAGATCAAGATCTCATCTGGGCGCAGCACATAAACAGCTTTTGACAAATGTGCGCCTAATAGAAATAAATGCAAATATAAACTTGTCCATTGTTTGGATGACAACAAGGCAGCCTCCTCGCTGCCAGTGTGTCAGGGCACGGTCCATTTGTCAGTGGCAGCCAGACTGTCTTCTCTACTCGTGCAACCCCGCCATCCTCCATCTACATTCACCATCTCAGCCTGCCACATGGCGGCTGTCTTCGCTTTTATTGTCGCCCGCTCGCTGGCACGATAAACATCTTCGACTATTGCCGACTGTATTTCAAGTTGGCCCGCTTATCATTAAACATTATCGCGCAACGTATTTGACATTTCCGTTCTTGGCATTGCCGACCGACCGACCATGTTACCAATTTTATTGTGTCATCGGCCCCTACTCTTAACCACAGAGGCGTCGCGCTCCTCGTGCTGGCTCCATTGTCATTGCCTTTGTTCCTTTTATGTTGATTAAATTATAAAATATTTACTTGCCCAATGCTGCTACAGCAGCCACTGTTTCTCACTCTCCCTCTCTCACTCTCTCTCTATCTCTTTCTCTCTTTGTCTGTTGTATGTTGCATATCAATTTCATTTTTAGCACAAGTGCAAGCCAATGCGGCGTATACATAACTTGTGCCACAATATGTTTTTGACTTGAACGTTTATTGTAGCTGCAGCTACTTTCAGGACAGTCAACTAATAATAATATTCGCTTTATATATCTGATACTAAAATAGCAACCAATTGCTTTCCGTTAGCTAATTTAATACCCTGCACTAATTAGATTCGTTTAAAAAGGCCTTTCTTGCAGCTAAGCAGAGTATGTTACTTTTTGTCGAGTCGATCAGAAAACACTTAAGGTCAAGTTATGCGAAATTATTAATAACTTTCACCCGCTTTCCCAAAAGCATATACCATAACAATTTTCCTCTATCAACTAGAGGGTATATCCTAATGTTGCTGCTAAAGAAATCTGAGGATAATGTTGAGCTAATATAAATATATAAAAATAGTTCAACTTATATCTATCTCAAGGCAATAGCTGCTATGGCTACTCTTGACTCTTAAGTTTCTTTCTCTTAATTTAATTTTTTATCAAATAAATAATAAATAGATTACTTATGGAAATTAAATGAAGTTTGTAGCAGATGTTTGCTACGACTTTTCAGTCAAGACATAAAATTCTTTAAAAAATTTATAATATTTTATAAAAACTTTGTAAATTTACAACTGCCTTCATATAAACCAAGGCTAATTGGCAATTCGTTCAATTTTTAACTCTTCCATACTTTTATTGCATTTCGCTGAGTAATTCACTGATGCAGCATGCGGTTTGGTACTGCAGTACCGAGCTGGTTGCTTCTGGGCATGCTGCTCCAGCTGATTGTGCCCGGTGCCGGCGAATGCTGCCACTCGAAAACCATCGCATTTCAGTTGGCTGACAATGAGGATGACTGCAGTCTCTACGATTCCAAGTTGACAAAGGGCGGCGTATGCAAGATGTCCATTTGCGATGATGGAAGCGCCGTCGACGGCAACTACTGCGGCCAGGGGCCGTGCAACATTTTTGGCTGCAACTGTGATGGCGGCTGTCGAAGGGGCGATGGAGCCCAAATATTTCGGGAATTCTACGGCGATTACCATGTACGCAATGTGCATATTGTCTAGTCGAAAAGTAAACATATACCCTGTACTTTACTTAAAGTTGCGAATACCTTTTTTTACACTTATACCTTACACTAGACAATAAAGCTTGCTTATTTAAAAATACCAAAAAGTCGGAGAATTATCTAAGACATAATGAAAGAAAGAACTATAGCTATAATAAACTATAAAATTAATATTTATCGATAGATACTTTCTCCAGCTCGTGTTCTGTTCAGATACATTTAACACAAGTGTAATTTTCCTTATACGCACTTTCTATAATAGAGCTAAGCAATTAGATAGCTTATCAATTGCAAACAGCAGGTAATAAATTAATGCTGGGTGTCAAATTGAACTCATTGATTGAGTTGAACGAAAAACAATCAGCAACAATTATAAAAAGCCTCTTGTAAAATGATAAGACACAAGACAAAGCACGCGTTGAGCGTAAGCTGTATATAAAGGTGCGATTGGGCCGGATCTGGCAAACAGTTTGTTAAAGGTGCATATTGGAGCACCATGAAGCTGGCATTGATCGCATCGCTCTCCGTGGCCCTTTGGCTACTCAGCCTCAGCTCAGGTGCAACGGCCGATTGCTGCAGACCATCAAAGATTCTGTACAAGTTGGCCAACAATGGCAAGGAACACAATTGTCAGACATATGGTGGCAAATATCACAACAAAGAGACGTGCGAGAAGAAGGTCTGCGGCAACGGGGACGGCATTGTGGGCACCTGGTGCGGCCGTGGCAAATGCAATCCCAGAGGCTGCCACTGCCGAAATGGATGCCTGCCCGGCGAGGCGACCGCCAGTTTTCGTGAGAAGCATGGTTATTTCAATTTCGAATATGTGGGCTATGCTTAAGCAACAAAGTGTTGTAAAATAACAAAATATAATGTGCATCTATTAAGCATTGTCTAACGAACTTTGTGCCAAACAGAACTTTAGAAGTGCAATCATTTCCATTTGGGCCACAAAACAAATTAAATGTGCACCAATCCATAAGGTATCGCATGACCAGAGAGCATTCGGTAACCCAAGCTGAGCTGCTGCTTCATTTACAGGCCACGCCCACTAATGCCAAAAACAAAACATAAACAAGAGAAAGAGTGCTCTAGTGACATACTTTATGGACTTGCAGATACCCTGTACGCACACGAAACTTGCTGGGCAGTACTGTTTCTTTTCCCATTCTTCAGATTATGCAAACATCGAATCTCACATCAGTTTGGTTTTTCTTATTAGATTGTTTTAAAATTTTGTTTGCCTGGAGATGGAGGTCAACCTACCTTTTTGAAAAACCATGTTGGATAAATAAAGAATAGTCAAGTAGCCTGCCCCAGATGCTAAGGTCTGAGATGCTTTCACTTGCTACAAGCCCATTATACCCGCACTCGATTGGGTGCAGGGTATCAAAGAGCTTTAAGCTAGCTATGTAGGTAACGCAAATAGGAGCTTGCAGCTGACAGGCAGTCCGGGGCTGTCAGGGCAGCCCAACCAGTTCACCTGGCGTATCGCCTTGCAACAAAACGCAGCAGCCAACAGCTGCGGATGCAACAAGAGCAGCAGCAGCAGCAGCAGCAACTCCTGCTGCTGGTGCCTGGGCAGTTTATCAATTCGTACCGCATAGCAAAAATTGATTGCAACGATTTATACTTTCTACTTCCTTTCACTTTATATATTCTTCTTACCTTCGTGCTGCTTATCCTGGCTGGGCGTCTTTCGCCTTTGTTCCTTTTCATCTTGTAAATACTTTTACTATAATATCCTTTCATTGCTTGTATTCACTGTGCCAAGTGCCTGGCATTGTTTGCCCGTACTTGTGCTTCCTCGTATTTCGCTTTCGCTTTGGCTCCCGCCGACTACCCGAGGACTACCCCCTAGGTAGATGGTGGCTGGTAGCTGGCGTGGCATTGCCAATCTCTTGTGTAACACAATACAATGTCCTGCGGTTGTAAAACGATTTATTTTGTTATTGATTCGCTGTAAGTGCTCCATGCGCCACCCACTCGCCGGACCCCACCTCCCCACTCGGTATATGATGCAAATATCGTAATGGCAGGCCCCAGGCGCACGTTCGCTCCTTTGCATACCCCGACATCCTGGGCGCGGAATACCCCTAACCCAAGGCCAAAGTGCTCAGCTGGCTCTCGTGCTAAACATAAATAAACATTTCGCCGAGATTATTGAAGTTTTATAACTCATTTCTGTCGATTGGTGGGCGCGGCTCAGCGATGTGTATAAATAAATGGGCGCACATTTCATACGCTGCACGGGGCGGGGGCGGAGGCAGGGGCAGGGAGTTCATGCCACAACGGCGCACAGTGCTAGAGACAGCTGTCCTTTGGGCGCCTTTCAGTTTTCGTGTTGCTGCACATTTTAATAAATCGTTTACAAGCAGCCGAGTCCTGAAACTCAGGACTCCAGCCAGTATAGACACGCACACACACACACACACACACACACACACGCAGCCAGTTCCTAGGGAGCATAGGGCATTGGGCCAGAGTCCAGGCACAATAAGAAAATTCATGATCATAAATATCCTGCAGGCGTTAAACGTTCACGTCGTTTTCAACATCGTCCTTGCTACCGACCATGCCTTTAATTCTGAATCCTGAATCCTGCTGTCTGGCTCCACTCAACTTTTGCTCTATGCAAAAGACGACCGACTCTCAGTTGCTCCACTTTTGATTTAATATGCTCATTCCCAGCCACCAGAACAACCACCACAACAACAAAAGCTTCGGTTTTGTCTTTCGCTTCTGAAGTTTTGTGTGATTTGTGTCTATATTTAGATGGTTCCGTTCAAGTGAAGCCCCTGTGGGCCATTGTTGAACCTGCTCCAGTTGCCGCTCCCAATTCGACTTCAGATTCTGTTGCTGTTGTGGTTGGCATTGTTTCCGTGTTGGTTAGCGACTTTTTTTTTGTTTATTTTTTTTTTCATTTCCAAGCCATTAAATAAAGCGCACAACACTCTTCGCATACACTGCGAGCAAAAAAAAAAAAAAAACGAGGAAAAGCGCATAGAAAAATGTTCCGCTTAATGATTTGCGACACATTTATTCGCAACATAAATTAGACAGCAGCCAGACAAACTGGCCAGACTGCGACAAGTGGCCAAACTGGGCAGCCACAAAAGGACATTTTATGACGTTGGCCACTTTTGACAACAAACCACAATTCAAATGATAATTAACTCAAGAGCTGGCTGATGCGAGACGATAATCATAATTCTTAGTTAGGCGCAATATATCAAAAATATTGTCTTGTAAATGGGAGACATGGCAGAGAATACTCTTAATATTATTATAATTGCAATCTGAGCCATAATATTAAATGTAGAACATCATGGACATCCTTTAAGGAACCCCATTAACATTTTAAGTAGACCTTTGATTAAAAGCTCAGCTTAAATTTTATAAATTAGTTTCCTTTCCTTTATCAATTTTTTTCAATATCATATTATTAGTATTATTACTTGACTGCTATTATAAAATGCATAAATCAGAATGTTATTAAGAAATAAAGAAAGAAGGAAAGGACATTTCCGGATATGCTCGAAAAACCCTAAATTAAGAGGCACTGTAGTTCAGGTTAGACCGTATTGCCACCGTCGAATACAGGGTCTATACTAGATATACCCTAGGATTCGAGAACTCATATACCGAGCACATTATTACAAGGCTTAAGCCGTAGTTGGTTGCAATTCAATAAAGGATATTTAGCACAATCGCATGTTTTAATCGGATTAGTGTTTTTAAGCCCAAAACAATTATTTTTACGAGACAATGCGACAGTTTTTGTATTGTTCAGAAAAGTTTCGAAAAAAATATAACATAATTTGATAAATGTATAACGTTCAATGTAAGCCGAATATATATTTATATTTATAATATCAAATATATTAACTAGCATTTAATCAAAAAACAAAACAGGCATAATAATGAGTAAAGTATTTAGCCTGGCTACGAATAAATATATGTATTGATTTTTAAACGTTATGTTTAAACATAACTTTTAAGTAGAGCAATAAAGCATGTTAAGTAATATATATGGAAATGAAATAAAAACGACTTACATGCCTGAGTTATAACGTAGGCCATCAAACGAGCTGGAGTCCGGCTTAAGGTGTAATGTAATGCCTGCTTAGCCGAAGGCCATTTACCCAGAGCTATTGAAAAGATAAGTTAATAATTGATATTAAACAGTTTTGACCAACTCAAACATATGGCTATGCTATTAATCTTTAAGCGAGCTTGCCTCGCAGTAAAACCTAAAACCAATTTCTAGTAATGCATGCGGCTACTACAAATTCACATTAAAGTAATGCGCTATACCAAAAAAAAAATGCTAACAAAATTGTGAGTTAAAGAGCTTTAGAAAGCTTTGACCGAGCAGCTGGCGCAGAGTCGAGAAGCAGGCTCATCGCTTATGCCATCTTTATGATAAGCGAGACGACCCAAAAGCCAGCATTTAGATTAAACAGCATGCCACATGTGCTGCCATACACACACGCACACGCACACACACAGCTGCAGATAGGCATAAATATATGGATTTGTGCATGTCTTGGTCGCTTTGTGTGTGTGTGTGTGTGTGTGTGAAGGCATAAGCTAATCAAAGCTAGTTTAATGCGTGCGCCGCCAAAGTTAATCCTAATTAATTTAATTACGCTTTTGGCATAAATTATTCGACAATGTGCAAGAAATAGTTGGCACACACACACACCCACACACACACACACACACACACACACACCCACACACACACACACACACAGACACGCAGACAATCTATCTATACACATATATTATACGCAATTAGTTGGGGTTTTCGCGGCGCCTCTTCTAATTGTTATTAATTGCCGTTACCCAGAAATGTGCAGTCAACCGAGCAAAGTGGAAAATGCCGGCAGACAAGTGAAAATGGGCGCAAAATGCCAGCAAATGGGCTAAATTGGAAAAAGGGCAAATGGCAAAGTCAAAGCATCGGCCAAAAATATATATTTCATGTATATAGATTTGAATGAATCTACAAATATGAAATCATCAAAAGTTTTGCTATCTACTTTATGTTGCGTAAATGTATTTTATTGAAATATTGTACCTGTCACATGGTCCTGCCCCAACCTTAGCTGCCCACCCAACCCCAACCCCCTTAGGTCTAAAGAGGCAAGACACTTGGCATTGCGAATGCTCAGCACGTGCAAGAAATTGTCGAGATGGCAAATAGTTTTCCAACAGCTAAAGCAACAAGGACAGCAAATGGGAAAACTGCAAATGTCCCACTGACTGACTCCTAGTGGGCGTGTCCTTGAGCGGCTCCTGGCCACAGGACAGAGAACACAGGTACGTATTGTAGCTGGCAGCCGCCGGTTCGCCTCGTCTCAAATAAACTCGAAAATTATTGTTTTTGTTTTCGTTACACTTGAGTTTGCTGCTTGTCGCAAAACTTTTATTAGGTGTCTGCATTCTGCTGCCAATATTTCGGTCGGCTCTTACAAAATTACTTCAGGGAGCAGGCCAGAAAAAGGGGTGTTGTGGGTGCGGCTGCTGGCGAAACTTGTGTCTGTGTCGTCTGTCTCGATCGAAAGATGAAAGATTTTAATTAAAATATTGTCCATCGGCCCCCCAAAAACTAATAAATCAACGCTGCACTCGGCGCACTTTCAACAGGTTCTTATCAAATGCCCAGGCCCCCAAAACACACATATTTTCGGGGACTACTTGAGCTGCAAACGATGCCAGGACACACAAGGCGCAGGGCAGGCGCCTTGTGCCCATTCCACGCGACACCAGACTAAGTCCACACACACACGTATATATATATATATATTTTATGTGCCGAGGTGTGCAAAAGCC